TTGTATATAAAATCATGCAAAACAAACCAAAAAAATGCTAGAACCTTCACCTTTTTCTTTCACCTAAGCATCAACAATTTGGATATCTACTATCATCAAATGAGCGAGTTTTTTTAGTAACATGTCTTCTTATTTTTCCAATATATCTTGTTAAGATTATGAAGGTTTAAGCAAAATAGGACTGAGTATTCTTTTATTGTTGGCATCATATCAACCTCATTATACACAAAGTAATGATATAAAGGATCCCAAAACTGTATTATGGCTCTAAAGAGTTAGCCCTCAATAATGGCTAGAAAAAGAAATACTAGATCTCCATACTTCTTTCAAAAGACTTCTTTGATAGTGACATCTTACTACTTCCAAATGTTAGCCAAATCACTTAAATCATTTCTTTGGAGATTAAGATGTATCCTAGTTGGGAAGTTGGAAACATAGTCAGTTGACAAGCAATCACATTTCTTAAGTTGAACTTCCTCGAATCTCACTTTTTAGGTTAATATGGGACTTTGCTAGGCTTTCCATGGACGTAGGTAACATTTTTTTTGTTAAAATTTTTAAATAGCAATCACTCATTATGATAGATCTGATGATGCAAATGCATGATCATATAGTGAAGTAAATGTGTCAGTAAATACAATAGATACAAAAAATTTTTTTAAAAAAGTATAATTTTACAAGTAAAAGGTAAGAAATGTCCCTTCATGTTTCTAATTTTAGGTTTTTTTTTTTTTTTTACAAGAGGATGGTATGGTTCTAACTTAGGTTTGGATTCTTGTGGTTTATTTATATGCTTAGTTTAAAAGCTTTGACAATTTAAAGGTTTCTAAATTATTCGTCATATCATTGTCCATAATAAATTACTAAAGCACCAAAATCCTCACCTATGATAAGCTCAAACGAAAAGGTTTCAATTTGAATGAAAATTTTTCGCTAGCTTATCACCTCATAAAAATATTGGTACTCACTCCCTCTTAATAAAAAACAAAGCTTGAGTCTAAAACCTATGTATGAATGTACAAGTGTGGTGTGTGTGTGTGCGTGCATGTGTGTGAAAAACAAACCACCCATTTTTATTCACAAATCCAATATCCCAAATCAAGTGTTATACAAAAATACAAAACAAACAAATAATTAGTACACATGAAAAACCAAATGCTATAAAATAAGGCTTAAGATAACATATAACTAACTAATAACTTGACTCACTAATATCCTTAACAAAGTTACCAAACTATCATAATGTTCAAGTTTGAGAATTTGATCATTAAACATAAAAAATATAGTCACCACCAATATTTTTTTCATTAGGTGTGATTGGTTATCTAAGTAAATCAATTTTTTTTTAAAGTTATCTTAAACTTAAACTAAAAAACCTTTTAAAAAATAGTTTATAGTCTACATCTTTATAACTAGGTTTGAGAGTTGATTATATATAGGTAAGTTCTTAACTTCCTTACATCATTTAAAATTGATACCAAGTTAATCATATGTTATCTTATTTAAACCTTATTTCAAATGATTTTTATTTCTAAATTTGTTAATTTCAATATTTAATTATTACAAAAAAATCTTTAGACTTTCACAAAAAAAAATTTCCTTACTTCAAGAGTATTAAAAAAAAACATGTTGTTTCCTTGAAGAGGCATTATCATCAAATTTATTAAATAATTTATGCAAAATAGATCGGCAAGCTATCAGTCAAATCTAGTTGTTTGCTACTATAAATGGGTCACGCCAGCGACTAGATTTTAGCAAGACAACCACGGAAAAGCACACTAATAGTCAAATTTACTGTTAACAGCCTTGGATCAGGTTTTCAAACACTAAAACCAATTGATCAGATGGTTTTCCTATCACCGAAGATGAGTTTCTATGTCGTCGACGGTCAATACTATGTCGTCGACGCCAACAATGGTTTGGGGTGATCATCATGTCGTTGGACAGGGGAGCCAACAAGCTGCTATGCCATTGGGACGGGGGTGATTTACCGCCATGGGTCCACCATCCCACCTATGATGTTTCTGGCGGAAGAATATTGCCTGGATTTGCAATGAGATGCTGTTAACCGTAATTTGTTACGAAACATTCTGTTGGCATTAGAGTAATATATATAAATATAATTATAAATATATATATATATATATATATATATATATATATATATATAGTTGTTGTTCTTTAGAAAAGTGAAGGGTTTAGTCTTGAAAGATGGGTTCGTCGACCACGTGGGTTAAAGACAGGACAAACACTAGGCTTTGTCTTTGGATTTGTTCGAAATTAGTCGATCATAATTTTAACCCTAATAGACTATAAATAATTTTTTATGTCATTACTCTCTGTTATCATTTTTATCGGGTTTTGATATATATATGTAGCCATCATATTTTGTTCGAAGAGTTTTTAAAATTTATTGAAATTTTAATTTTAATTTTGATTGTACAATTAAGTTTTAATTGAAAAAATAAATTTTGGATTCAAAAATTAAACTCTAAATTTTATTTTTATTTTTACTTTTAGTTTTATTTTTTATTTTTTAGTTAAAAGAGTCAAATCAATTGATAAAAAACTAAAAAAGGTAAAAATTTAAAAAATATATGAAATTTTGCATAAAAAATCATGGATTCAATTCAACTCTTAAATTTTATATCAAATTTTAACTTTAATAATTAAATAATTTTAAAAAGACTTAAAGCTTAATCTATTGAAAAATAAAAGATTACACAGAGAATAAAATTTGATGAGAAATCTTAGATTCGGTTGAATTAATTTCTTTCAAATCGAAAGTAATTCATTCTCTATATAAGACATTGAATCTAAAATCAAAAGAGAGACTCACAGTAATTCACTTTAAAATCAAACAGAGATTATTAAAAAGAGAGAAAATTTTGATAAAATTTTGAATCAATAAGGAAAAGCAATCAAATAAAAAAAAAATTATGAGAAGATCCAATTGGAGTTTTTTAAAGGAAGGCTAAAATTTATAGTAAGAAGCATCAAAATTTGAAAAGTGAAAAATTATTGAAATCCGTGATCCATTGAGGTAATTTTTTTTTTTGTAATTTTTGCATAACTTTTATATATTTAATTGCATATTTTGTATGGTTTATATATTATTATTTATATGATAGCATAATTTTATGTATTATTATTTGCATGATTATATATTTAATTGCATGTTTATTTGCATGATTATTAATGTTATTATTTGCACGATTATATACTTGATTGCATGTCTAATTGCATGATTATTAATTTATTTATTTGTGTGATTGCATAATATATATTGTTATTTGCATGATCATATATTCAATTGCAGGTTTTACATTGTTAATTGCATGATTATTAATTTATTTATTTGTGTGATTGTATGATTATTAATATATTTATTTGCATAGTTATTTATTTATTTATTATTATTGTTATTATTATTGCATGATTTCATATTTATTGCATGATATAATATTATATGTTATTACATTATTAATATTATATTTGGATTATATTTAATTACATTTTTCTATATTTATTGTGTGCATAATTGCATGATTATACATCATTATTAATATATTTATATGATTATATTTGATTTCATGATTATATATTTGCATGAATGTTTATTAATATATTTGCATGGTATTTTATATTATTGCATATAATATATTTGCATGATATTATATATCTACATGATTGTTATTATTGCATGATAATTAATATATTTACATGACATTATTGCATGAATATTTTAGCATTTATCTAGGCATGATATTATTACATGATATTTGGTATGATTTATAATATATTTACATGATAATTTTTGAATAGTATGATTTACTATTTATTACATGATTGCATGATTGTTTGATATTTGATAAAATTTTTATATCACCATGGTGTGTAAACAAATAAAATGATTGAAATTGATTTATTTACATGATAAAAGTATCTTTGATAAGGTTTTGGTAAAATAATACATAATTAAATTGGTACTAATTTTGGGCATAAAATGGTGTTAGTATCTTCCCTGCACTTAACCCACTCCTAAACTATAGGTTTTTTTACGTAAACCCAAACACATTCTTTTTAGAGACTCTCAGCTTAGGTTTAAGATAACCTTAAAAAAAATAAATGTATATAAATGATCAATTACACCTAACTAAAAAATATTTGTGGCGATTCTATGATTTTTATATTAATGAATAGGTTCTCTCAACCTAAATGTTATGACAATACATATATTTAAGGATTATTTTTCAAAAGTAATAAGTACTTTTTTATTAAAATATCATGATAATAGAAATATTAAAATATATTTAAATTTAATACATATTTAATAGACAAAGATAAATCAACTTATATGATGTAAAATTTTAAAATTTTATATCTTTAATCATTTTTTTTAATAAATTCAATGGATGAGAGAGTTAAAGAAAAAAAATTAATTTCATTGCTTAAATATATTAAAATTAATTATTAAAAAATATTGATTTTTTTGTGTAACTGGTTCCTCCCCGATTATACTTTAGTTGTTGGCTATTTGTTCTATAATGTATTTTTTTTTAAATCTTTAGACTATTTAATCATAATTATCATGAAATTTAATTTATTACCCCATGCTAAGATAAAATAATTTTATATTTATTATTTATTTTGTTGATAAATATTTAATCTCTATATAATTTTCATCATTTATTTTTTGTAATTTTTATTATTTTTAAAGTTTTCTTAATGATATATGATGTTTTTACTTGATCTTGTTTTTTTTTTACTATTTTTAATTTTTTTACTTTTATAGTAATTTTCAATTATTGATCATTATTTGCTCCTTGATTTTGGTATTTTTATCTTTTTATTTTTAATAATATATGTAATAGTTGTTGTTTATTTTTATAATTCTCTATAGTTTTTTCATTTTGAAATGAATAAAAATATGCTTTTAATCTTAAAAATAAAGCATCTTTCAAAACTTTTTTTTTTCGGAGTATTTTGACTTTGATGATACATTTTTTTTAATAAGGTATATTAAAAAAAATTAATATGTGATACTTGTAGTATTTTTCCAATTCCAAAGCGTGGGTTTATTTGCGTTTTTTTTTTTTTTTTTTGTTAAAGTCAGCATCTTTTTCTCCTCCGCCGCTGCCAAATCTAAAACAAAACAAAAAATCCAACATAAATAAATAATAGAAGCAAAGCCTCTGGAACTTGTTGAATTGAAAGGAAAAATGTATCATCCCACTAGAGGTGGCGTTCGTGGTGGCCGAGATCGTAAGTTTTCCCTTCTTTTCTCCTTTTCTTTTCTTTTTTTATTTTTTATTTTTGCGTTTCTATGTTTTCTAGGGTTTTCGTCTTCAATGTATTATTAACTCTTAGATTCTGTAATTCTATTTCGTTTAAACAAAATCTTGTTCTAATTCACCAATTTTATGTTTGGGTTTTCTTCAATTGAATGATAAGAGAGAAAAAGAAAAAAAAAAGGAATTGGAAACTTAGATTTACCGATTAAAAATGGTTGTTTAGAGAATTTCACAAGCTGGATTCATGGGTTAATGCGCCCTTTTAACTCTAATTTAGACTTTTGGAACGGTAATCTTGGGTTGTTCGTGTAGCTACGAAATGCTGCTTCATCTTTTGGCATTAGAGGGTGGACTTGCTTTCTCTTTCTTCTTTCCTATTATCTTTATTATATGTCTGCGACAAATTTTTCTGAGAATCCTGAATTCGTTGGCCCGAAGAAGGATTTACAAATAAGATGTTCGAGTTTGGGCTTATCTAAAAAATGAAGGGGAATTAAATAAGTTTGAATTCCATAGCAGAAAACTTGAAGTTGAATGTACAATTCATCAAATCTGATAGGCCTGTCTTGTGTAAACTAATTCAATTTTGCGAATCAATGGCATGATGGGAGTTGAAGAACACTGTCATACCTAATCTACTTAATTATTCACTTAAAGTGGAACTCATTGGATCTGGAAATAAGTTCACCCTGCCCGATACCGTAACATTGAAAACAGGTAGCAGACTTTAACTTTATGCTTCAAATGCTGCTTCTGTATATAGCAGATAGAGAAGATTGAAGAGGTAGCTATGTTTACCAATTTGGCATGTCTAGCAAACCATAAAGGAAACTTTGTTTCTTTCTCTTCTTCCATCTCCATATGAAACTTTTTCAGTTCCAGATCTCAATTCTGCCTTAAGCTTACTGAATTTTCGCATGAATTTTTTAAGCTTCGAAACTTTTTCAGTTCCTGATCTCAATTCTGCCTTAAGCTAACTGAACTTTGGCTTGAATTTATTAAGCTTGCAATATTAGAATTTCATTGTCTAGATAATTTTTTTTTTCAGAAAGAAATTATGAATATTGGAATTGATGAGATAAAAAATAATTACAATAGGAAAATAATGATATTAGAGTTATAAAATGAAAAATATCGAGAAATATATGCAATTTAAGTGTCATTAAATTTGTAAAAATATATAGATATTACTAATATTAGGAAAAAAGAAAAAATATATTTTAAAATAGTTCTTGTAGTTAGAGTTAAAGAAAATAAAAGTTGTGTAAAAAAATTAAACATAATAAATGTAGACATATTATTAAAAAAAGTAAGGAGTTTCACTGGAGGTGGAATTTGAAATGAGAATATGAGCCCTCCAAAATAGCTAAATTCCAAGAGCTTTCCAATTCCAATTTTTATTTTTCCAATGTGTTTAATTTTTTATTTTAGAAATTTGAAATTCTTTCTACAAAAGAAAGTCCTCCTTGAAATCCCTCAGCCTAACACACCCTTAGAATTTAGAATAAAGGTTAACCAAACAAGATTATGAATGAAGAAGTTATGCAATAAACTCAGAATAAATGTTAGCCAAAAAAGATTAGAAATTGAAGAAGCTATGCAATAAACAAAATAAACTTGTATTTGTTCACTTGGTATTTATTGAACTGATGATCAGTTTTGAAATCTAAAAGATATTGCTTCTCCTTTTTGAAAATTAATCGAGAAAAAAATGTTGTCTGCTATCAATGCATTTGATCACAAAGTTAGTTTATATCACTGGTTGAAAGTCGAAACTCACATGCACAGACACACTTACATTAATATTGTATTTATGCATATTGATCCACTTCCTTTATTTGAGAGAGTTTTGTGAGTGATTTCAATTATATGTTGAAGAAGAAAAGAAATGAATGCAAAGACAGGAAAGGAATCTCCAATTATTAGATACAAAGACAGGAAAGAAATCTCCAATTATTAGATACTAACTATAGATTTGTTCTTGGCTGCCTATGAGCAACCTAGGACAATTATATCATCTAATACTGCACTGGTCACTTGGAGAACGGAGAATGAAAAGAACACAAAATGCTAGATTTAGAACTACTGTTCTTTCACCTTGGTTGAGGATTGACGCTGTTGATCTTTCAATTTCTAATAGCTTTTGATATATTAAATTTTTGAGATTTTGAGTGCTTTTCATGATTAGGATATTGAGTTTTGAGACTTGAGATTTAAGATTTTAGCAATTGAGATTTTCAGTTCTTTCTTGTGTTTGTTTAAAATATTTGCTTGTACGTCGTGTTTGCACATTAATTTTGCTACTTCTACTGTGCCTTTGACTAATGTCTCCCTGTGAGATATATATATATATAAGTAGGGATCAACTTATATCAATGTATCCATGTGCTACTGTAGGTGAATTACACCTGGAAATGATTATTTTCTTGTAACATGCAGAATTTAGTTGGGAGGATGTGAAGGTTGATAAACATCGGGAGAATTATCTTGGTCACAGTATTAAGGCACCTGTTGGGAGATGGCAAAGAGGTATTATTTTATCTTACTTTATCTTACTTTTACTGTGCTATTGTATTTTTGTAAGCTAGAGGACGAGTGATTATTTTATTGACTTGCTGGAATGGGATGTTGGGCTTCTTAAGTAATTGATCACATCCTATGTTGAATTTGTTGCTCTTCTTTTTATTATTGTTATTATTATTTTTTATGATGCATGTCAGTTATGGTGCAGTTTGTCACTAGGATTTCGATTAGAGTATTGCCTTCCTCTAATAATGATCTTGTATTATATTCTTGTTATAACCAAGATACTGTGCTAGGGAAGACGTTATTTGAAGATAGTTTTGCCTCCTGATACTTTTGCATGTTTAAAAAAAATAAAACAGTTTGGGTTTTAAATAGCCTATGCAATTTTATATAGCCATGATAGTTTTGCATCCTGATACTTTTGCACTTTTAAAAAAAATAAAACACTTTGGGTTTTAAATAGCCTATGCAATTGTATATAGCCATGATTAAAGGTCTGGGACAAGGATAATCATACTGTCTAACAGTTACTTTCACTTATCAACATGTGTATTTTTGTCTGTGAACTGTTGATTATTTTAGAATGTTCAAACTATGACAAGAAGTGTTATTGGATTGACAAATCATTGTGAATCAAACTACAAATCTTGGGAAATATCTTTTCTAAGGCAAGCACTTCATTACACCTGAGTCTTCTTCATTGTGCTTTCAAATTTTGGGTTTAACATATCGTTCTGCAGGAATTTTAGGACATTCCCATTGTAAATTAAGAGTCTGCATGTTATGTAACCTGCTGACTCTTAAGAACTTTGAAAAGATCTTTAATGTTTGTAAATGCTTTGGAATAATATAAAGCATTCTATTATGTCATGTAAATTTTTGAAAAATCCTTCTGAAAGAAGTGAAAAGAAGTCATCATAATTACCTTGACCGAAAATAAAAAGGTCACTTAAATTTAAAAAGTTTTCATGAAAATCTTCCATTTTAAATTTAAAATATTTTCAAGAAAATCTTACTTTTATTATAAAAGTTGATTATATTAAGGCTCTTGAACACAGAATTTTATATTGATTTTTTCTTTAGCTGTTTGTTCTTCCTTGCCTCTCTCTCTCTCTCTCTCTCTCTCTCTCTTTCCCCTTTTCTTCTGTAGATAGAATTTGTTATTTGGGCCTTTAGAGTATGTGCATGATGGGTTTTATAGTATGCAAAAGTTTGTACTGGTATTAGATACTTAACCTGTATTCTATTGACTCTGAAGCAAAGGCTTAATGATGTATTAAATACTCAACAACTATATTATTCAGCTCATAAAATGAGAAACTCATTGGATACATCAGTGCCAAAAACTTATTTTCTTCACATGTAACGATGATTAACAGATCTGATAAGAAGTGCTATTTGTTTTTGTCTGTCTGGCATCCTTTTTTTGTATCATTGCTGGAATACTTGGTGCCCTAATTTTGCTATAACAAAGCCTATTAGCACTGCATGAAGTGGCTTTATTTTAATTACAGGGAAGGATCTGCACTGGTATGCAAGGGATAAAAATTCCAGGGATTCAGACACAGAGGCTCTAAAAGAAGAAATTAGAAGAGTCAAGGAAGAGGAGGAGCAAGCCATGAGGGAGGCTCTTGGGCTGGCTCCGAAACGTTCCAGTCAACCTCAAGGCAATCGCCTTGATAAGCATGAGCTTTCAGAACTTGTGAAGCGGGGATCTACCGCAGAGGACTTGGGTGCAGGCCATGCTGAAGCAGCACAAGTCCATGGTCTTGGTTTCTCAAGGTATGTGGTATATTCATATTGTCTTAACAAGTTCTCAAGATATATAATTGTACAATGGAACAATTGAGCAATGCTGCAGGAGTTGCAATTTCTTTTTTTCATTTTTAGAAACCAAAAGTGATTGATCAGTTTTTTTGTATGTAGCTTTTTTTGTTCTGTTTTTTTTTTTTCTTACTGTTCTAAATTATGAATGATTTTAGATAACATAAAATGTAATATGCCGCTATTTTCGGTTCTTAGGAGAGTACTTTCTCACAACCAACTGTAATGTAATCATTTACTTTGTTCCCTTTTGTCAGCCAAAGTGAGGAAGAATATTTTGGGTACGAATTCTAAGGAGTAGTGCTAGAAAATTGCATCATGTCAATGCCCTCTGTTTGATCAAGCACCCAAAATAGCAGCATCTAGCAATATTATTTCAGTGTTATGCTTTTCTGATCTTAGAATTGTTGTCTCTGATTTTAAATTGCTCATAGATAAAACTGCACAGCTGCTATTGCCAGGGTATTAATGGCATCAATCTTTCAGAGTATCATTGTTCATATTTTTTTTTACAATAAAATGTCCTTCCCACAAGCAATCTCCTTGATTAACATTCACCTTGGTCCCTATATCCGTTTCTTTTGTTCTTGCTGCAGAGTGCCACGCCCATGGGAAGATCCAAGTACCCTTCCCTCCAGTCAGAAGGAAGCCTCACCTGATATGGTCAAGGTGGATGAACCCTTGCCATCAACCACCAACATTGCACAAGGAGAATCAGACGATGAAAGCAGCAGGAAGAGAAAGAGACGTGAGGATAAGCGACAAGAAAAGCACGTTAAGAATAACGGACACGAGAAGTGGCATGAAAAGCACGAGAAGCGGTATGAAAAGCACAGAAAGCATGAGAGACATGAGAAGCAGTATTCTCGTGATTCAGGTGAAAAGAGAAGACATAGGAAGGACAAGGAAAAGAGGCGCGATTCCTACTCTGATTAACTATCTTTCCAGCCACCTTGGTATCGTTTCGTGCGTTATAGATTGTTTTTTGTTTCTCTTCTGGCTAAATTGAAAATGAAAATCTCCAAGTAATTCATACAATTGGTTGTTATTATTGCTGATATGGATCTTCTGAAAATCTGGTGTGGGCTTTTTTTACTTGTTTCGAGCAATGGTGTGAATCATTCCATGTGATTTGTTTCTAGGAACTTGCAGGAAGAATGGGGATGTAAAAGAATCGAACATGAATAAATTTTATTATGTTTATTATCTTTGGTTCTCATCATTTGTTAAGTTTAATAAACATATAAAAATCAAAATTTTTCACAAATTATTGATTGAACATTTTATTAATTTTTACAAATAAATCAAATATAAATAAATTTTATTATATTTGTATTCTGTTTATTTAATGAACAAATTTTAAAAAATTATTTGTGATTATTTATTAAGTTTAATAAACAAATATAAACTAAACATGTTTATGAATTGTATATCAAATGTTATGTACAGTTACACCTCTAAGCAAATTGTGTCAGTTGAAAGCAAACGGATAGACATTAATTTTGGGCTATTAAGTTGGCTCATCATGTTGGGATAATTTGGCTAAAATCACCGGGAAATTCTTTGTGATGCCCGTAATTCTTGAGATGACGCTTACTCAACCTTCCGTTCTGTCATGGTACCCTCCTAATAGAGATGACAACACTGACTTTGAATTTGAAAATTTTGTGCGATCAATTTAAATTCAAACTCAACTGACTTCGATTTTATATGAAAAAGTGAATAATGCGAGCCTATAATGGTAGGCACGCAAGTTGACTCAAACGTGGCGAAATGCATGGAAGATATTTTAAGTAAATTTTAAATAATTTTGTAAAAAATCATATAAGACTAAAACAATAGTCAAGCCTCATTTAATATTGCTGTTAAAATCAGTATTTATCCGATTTTAATGTTAAATAATAAAAATGATTTTAAAAAAAAAAGAAGAGATTTTTCAGTTTTAAAAACATTATTTTCAAACTCAAATAAAAACCCTCCTAAATACTGTTTTTACTGTGAAAAATATATTTGAGGTAAATAATTATTATATTATCTTTTTGTTTTTAATATTTTATTATTTATCAAAAATAAAATAAAGCGTTGACTAAAAAAATCTCTCCAAAAATAGAGAAGATGAAAAGGAGTTAGGAATAGAAAAGAAAAAAGGAATAAGGAAGAGCGACAGAGAATCCCTGACAACATGGCAAGGTGGCAACGGTAATTTAGGATGAAAGGGGATTAGGGTTTCAATGATTCTAAACACACTTCATTTTTTGTTTTTACATTTTTTTCAAAATTATATTTAAATAAATTTATTTAATTACATATTTTTTACGCTTCTTTCATTTTTAAACTTTCAAATTTATAACTTTGAAACTTTTCAAAATTTTTGAATTAAAATATTTGAGAGTGTAAAAATTTGTTTCAAGACATTGAAATAAAAAAGGAATATAAAAACTTATATACATAGTTTTTTCTATCAATTTATAATTAAGCTTATACTTATTTAAAATAATTCATGTTTTTTCTTTACGATATGCGGAAATTCTTCAAGATATTTTTTTGAAAATTTTTTTTAGACCTTAAATGTAACCTCTTATTAATTTATTGGATATAAAAATTTATTAAATTATATAAGTTTTTAACTATACATATTTAATAAGTTATAAAATTTATCGGATATATATATATATATTCAAAAATTTTAAAATTGAAATGAGAAAAGATAATTATATAATTTTATTTAAAAATAATTTTGAAAAAAAACTATGGATGTGGAGAGAAAAAATGAGAATTTATAATTAAACATAAGAAAGAAGGGGAGCAACTGTAGATTTATTGATAAAAAAAAAGAAATTTTAGGATTTTTTTAAAAGTTATAAATACTTCCAAAACTATTTGACAAAATAAAAAAAACTGATCAAGTCGTCTTCAGTGTAGGCCCAATCCAAATATTTTATGTTTGACCAAAATGTTGTTCACTTCTATTTTAATTATTTTTAGAAAGAAAGTCCAATTTTTTAAAAGAAGATCCTGCCCATTTCAAAGGTATTATTTTTAACCCCTTTATTTTATTCGATTTAAGTTAATAAAGTTGTTCAAATTAAGAAAAAATTATATAATAATCATAAATAAATTGATTATTAAAGTTTTCCAATGATAGAAAATTTTATCAAATTTGTAGTAACATATTTCTAAAAATAGCTAATTAAAATGAGGAATAATATAATGGAATCTATCAATTCTTTTTTCCCATAAAAAACAATGAAAAAACATAAGAACAAAAGAGAAGATATGGACTACTTTTTTTTTTTAATTTCAAAAAAAAATTAAACCATCACAAACCACTACCAACTCAAAACAAAACACAATTAACGATAAAGAAAAACACAAAAAAACCCTATATCAAAAAGTTGTATAGATTTTTTATTTTTAAAAACAAAAAAAAAAGAGAAAAAATAAAAGAACATGACAAAAAAAAAAATCTTAAAAGAAGGAAAGGCCACCGTCAACAGTTAGCGGTGTAGGTGGCAGTGGTGGCAGTGAAAGTTAGAATTTTCTTCTTTTTTAAAGAAAAAGGATGAAACTTTTAGAATAGAAAGATAAAGAAAGAGGGGATAAGGGAGAGGAAAGAGAGATCCTGACAGCCTGAAAAGATGACGACAATGATCCAGAATATGAAACGGGATTAGGGTTTTTTTAAGGGATTGGAGAAAGGGGGAGCAATTGTATCTGGACTTACTGATAGAAGAATAAAATTTTAGATTTTATTTATAAAGTTTTTATAAGTAACTTCAAATTTTGGAGATAGGTATAAAAGAAGAGATGATGTGAGTGTACTGCGTTCAGTACGAGTCCAACCCAAATTTTATTCTCGACCTAGAAAATTACTCAGTCATAATTGTATTATATAAGAAAAAGAGTCCAATTTTTTTTTTTTTAAAAGAAAAGAACAAGCACATTTTAAAGGTATTATTTCTAACCCTTTTATTTTAATTAAGTTAATTAAGTTGTTCAAATTAATAAAAATTAAATAATAATCATAAATAAAATGATTGCTGAAAAATTTTCAAATAGAAATATTTTATTAAATTTGTAATAACAATTTTCCAAAATCTTATTAAAATGAGGTGTATATAATATAATAAAATCCATCAAATTCTTGGGCAATTCTTAAAAATTATTTCAACTTAATTTTAAATAATAATAAAGTGAAATATTAAAATAAAAATATTAACTTATGCAAATTATAATAAATAAATAAATAAAGTTAGATTTTGAATATTTTAGAAATTGCATCGTTATATTTTTTTTTCACAATTGCATGCATTTGTATATAAGTAAATGAAAACCTTACCAATTTTGTAAATGACATGATTTCAAGAAAATTATAAATGAATATTTTTGTTAGAAAATTCTTAAGGTAATGAGATTTTCTAAAGTTTAATGAACATGTAGAGGAGATTTTAAATAAAAAAATTACAATATAAAGGCTTTCATTTGCTATTACATAAAATTAACAAATATTAAAACTAAGAAGCAAAAGGCTAATACAAAGTGAGTAAAATAAAACTAGGATTAAAAAAATTGTGATAAAAATTAATTTTTTATTAAAATGAAAAACAAAAATGTAAAAAAGTAAAAAATAATACATTTACATATCAACTACTTTGATTAATTTTATATGGGGTAAGATAAATTTACATTAGTGTAAAATTTTTTAGTTTTACATTTTTTTTTACCATTGATTTTAATATATCAAATGGATGAAAAAGATAAATAAAAAAATTTTATCTCATTTTTTGAATCTATTAAAATTAATGATTTAAAAATATATAAAATTAGAAAATTTTATTCCAATATAAAATGATTCCTCCCCATTTTATATATTTATAATTAATTATATATAAAATTTGGTTTGTAGTAATTAAGCGCACACAAAGAAGAGCCAAATACTAGTAGTATAGAAAAAAGTAAAGATTTTATGATTAAGATTCAAGAATCACTTAATCAAATATTAGTAGCATAGAGATAGTAAAGAATTTATGATCAAGATTCAAGAATCACTTAATTTGGAATGGGGAAGCAAGAAGTATAATGGATAATGTCAAAATGATACATACGGAAATATGTACCACAAATAAAGAATCTTTGAATGAAAGCTCAATACAAAATGAAACTTTTTTTTTGGCTGAAATATATACTATAAAACTTTAGTAGTACATGTAGACGATAAAATTTAAAAAATTTTGAAATGAAAGTTTTCTTAAAATGTATCAATTCAAATAACAATATTTATAATTATAATTATAATAATTTCTTTTTTAATTTGAAGATTGAAATTTGATGAGATAAAAAAGTAATCACAATAGAAAAATAGATTTTAGAGATAAAAAAAGAAAATTAATTTTCAAGAAAACAAAAACTACTTTAAAATATAATTAATTACATCAGATTTTCTCATCCAGTAGTTGATTGACATGTGGCCAGTTATCAGATGGGCAATTTAAGGAATCCTTGAGATCAGAATCAATAATCTACCATAGGGTCTAATAAGAAACCTATAATCCAATAATAGATTAACACGTGTCAAATAGAAATATGACAGTTTCAAGGAGCATTGATAGAAGTGGGAGGCGGCACAACGTAACTATCACCTACTGGTAGGGGGCCACGAAAGGATTTTTTGTTCTTAAAATAGTCATGCCAAAAATATAATTCTGACTCAGCAAACGCAATGGTATCTAGTTGGCAGACTATGGGACAACCATCTATCAGAAACGGTTACATCTACAAAGGAGTGAGACAACAATCAACTGAGAATATGAAATATCTGTAATAGCTGTTGATTTTTCGGGAGGATTCATGTTTTGCAGGTAAAAGTGATTACTTGGATCAAAACCCAAGCAAATGGTTATTACAATTATAGAGATGATTGATGGGAATCATACGTAATATTATATTATAAAATTCATAAATACCTATTAAAATTTATTATGTAAATGTTTGTGTTCATTTTTTTATTACACATAAGATAATACTAAATAATTATATTATGTATGATCAAAATAATTAAATATAAAAAACTTTTAAATTAAATTATTAAATCATAATAAATATTTGAAATATCTTGAAAATAAATAAAAAGATATATGATTATTTGTTTTATTTAATATTATTCAAATTTATTTAAAATATTCAAATTAATTTAAATTGATGAGAA